AAACGGAAGAACCTGTCACTCGTTAAATAATTTTGAACGAACCAGAATCGAACTTTTGTCTGAAAAGTTGAAGATCATAGCTCTATCCCTACTCCCCTTAACATCATAGATTCATCAGCGCTGTTCAAGCACACATTAAAATTTTTATTAAACCAAATGAAGAGTTCGACTGAAACTGAATACAGATCGACCACGTTCCACCAACTCTCTTATGCCCAAGGCAATTCTCATTTGCATGAACTGACAAAAGCGTGATCGCAACTGAATACCATGAACACGTAACGACGGCGAAATTCAATTTTATTTCCGCGCAGAATTGCATCACTTTTTCCATGTAAAGAATAATCCGTGTATGACTAACTATTTCATGCATTATAAATTAAAATTCAGCTATTGATAACATTGGTATTGCTCACTATTCTTGGTTTAGCAACAATAATAAATCAAGTTTGCATGTAACTGCTCAGATAACCATCACTAAGTAAGCCTAAATACAGCTACAGATTTTAGAATAGTCCCTCCTTCACTTTCAGTCTATTTTACAAAGGTATATGAACGGATCTGTTTTGCCTGGCGAAAAATGACAGGAAATAGGAAAGACGTATGTTGGCTGTTAGCGGTCCTATTCCGACGTATTCATAGAGAAAGTGATGGAGAACCACGAAGACCTTAAGTCAGGAGGTTCAATATTCCGTACCTCTTGAATATGGAGCAGGAATTCACAATTCCTACAGTCCGACGTTTCGTAAATTCTTTCCTAGAAATCCTGAAATCTGCGTACGCAAACATTCCAGACCTTATAGGACAGAGCAATGTCATCATAACTTTGTATGAATAGCATGTCACTGACATTTTGTACGTAATATCATGACATCTACAAACATAGCAATTCTGCAGACTTCTTGGGGGCTACTTGACTGTCAGAAATGAGACTATATAGCTACGCATGCATTAGAAAGGATTTGAAAGAAACCGTTCGTGACATAATCTAGGTAGTATCTCGGAATTTTCTTGGAGGCTCTGAGGAAATCCAAGAAAATATCAGCCAGGATAGCTAGTGTCCCACCAAGATTCAAAATACTCAGCATTTTGTTATCGCATTCAGCCTTTAATTAGTGGCAGAATTGGAGAAACCGAATCGGAACATAAAGTTCTTATGTACTAACAAGCAGCCAGCCAAAGGAACTTTCTACATCGGAGACAGATCATGCCGAGTTCACTTTTACATTGGCTTACAGATTGAGGAAGCCGCTCACAGTGGCCCCGCGATCTAAGATGCGAACTATCTTCTCCCGCTCAAACACTGAGGTCGTGGGTTCGAATCCCACTTGAGACATGGATCTCTGTGAGCTCTTATTTTGTGTTTGTGTTGTCCCGTGTGCAGGTAGCGGACTTTCGACGGGCTGATCCCCCGTCAAAAGTCAAAAGAGTCCTACCGACTGTGTAAAAAGATCAAGAAAATGAAAAAGCGGCCAAGGCACAACACAGGGCTGTAGAGCCATAGAGAGAGAGCGGGGCAGATAGACCGAGGAAGCACTCTTCGCGGGTGCACACTCTGCCTCTACTTATTGCAACAGTAATACTGTAACGTGTATAGCTAGGCAACGGTGCGATAAACACTTCCTCGCTTAGGCGCACTCAACAATAACACGAATGTTTGTACCTCGTTGCTGGGCAATAGTCAGCATGCCAATGAACTGGCGAGGTACCTATCACGTGACTCGTTTTCTCTGTGGTCTTCTTTCTGCAACAATATGTATGTGTTTTCCGTGTGTGTTCAGTGCGGAAGCTATATAACGGTGGTTGCAGATATAAGAGTTTTCAGCCCCCTGTGAAGGCGGGGTCGAATACCTCCAACGTGACCCTGAGAGTCGTAGGTGGCGATGAAAAGGGAAGTCCAAAATCTGAGACAGTAAAATATGGTCGTGAGTTCCAAGGGACTCGGACCCGAGAAAGACCGCGCTGGCAAGGCCCAGCAGCATATGCAAAAGACAGACTCGTCCTCTCGTCAGAGAGGGCGCCCCACAAAAATAAGACAGTAACTGCCAAACGATAATAATTAATATCTGGTCATGAGCCCCAGATGGTGCTCGACACCAAGACTTACTGACTGACTGACTGTCAGTCGCAATATGACTTTGACTTTAAGAGTTTTTAGTTTTAAGTGCAGTTCAGTTCAAGTGAGTTTTATGTAAGAGACAGCCACGGAAAGTTCAGTTTTGAGTTCAGCAGAGTGCGGTTGATTTCCAGATCGACTGACAAAGAAATGGCAAGAGGACTTCATAGTGTTTTGAAGTGCTACTTTCATTGTGAAAATCCATTGCCAGGAGACGACTAGTGATAACGGAGAATCCTAGTGCGTGTGCAACAATGAATTGTAAAGCTGTAAATCACCGACATCGCTCTATTGACTGTAATTAAGAGAGGTTGTAACCAAGGTGCTAATAAATCCAGTCATCCGAACTAGAACCCGTCATTCTTGTCAAGCGTACCCCCATACACGTGACAATATGTTAAGACATAATGAACACGGAGAGAGAGAGAGTGCGTTGTCACCTCCTCATGCTGCCTGCTTCTCATTTGTTTACATCCACTTCGTACACATTCACAATAAATTTTAACTGGGAACCAGGCTATTACAAGTTCCAGCATCTGATTAGGATTTTCGAAATAATGATGTAATATTTTAATTTTCTAAGTTTATTAATTTAGGTACACAAAACTCCTATAAAAAAGAAATACAAAATAAAATATAACATACCAGTTCAATATCTCGTCATGTCCTGTTAAATACTGATCATCTTAATACCAGGCAAATTTCCATTGTGTCTCCTTCTTCACTTACACTTCCAAATCGTGTGCCGACACCCGGTTACAATTCCGAGCCCAGGCCAGATTCCTCTTAAGCCTGCTGCTTGATGAAGAGCGAATAGCATTGCAGTAAGGACTTCCCAGCGAAATTTTCTCTCTGGCCTTCCCACATAAACCCCGAATGCAGTCTACTTCTCCCCCATGCGTGCTGCATACCCCATCCATCTCACCCTACTTGCCTCGATCATTCTAATGACATTTGGAAAAGAGAACGGGTTATGAAGCTCCCTATTATGTAATTGTCTCCAAACCCCTATAATTTCATCCCTCTTCGATCTAAATATTTTAATCAGCACCCTGTTCTCAAACATCTTCTGCCTATGCTCTTCCTACAGTATCAGAGACCAAGTTTCATACACTTAAAACTATAAGAAAAATTATGTTTTTTGTATTATAATTTTACGGTTTTGCATAGAAGATGAGAAGACAAAAGTTTCTGAACTGAATAGAAGCTAAATGTCAAAATTTGTAGATGAATAGTTTGTGCTACTAATGCAACTCAATGGAACAGATCTTATTTGCGAAGCAAGTATACCCTCGGGTGATCGAAAAATTCTCTCTCTCTCCATGGAATTTGAGGGATCATTATCGTGCTCACAAAAGCCCGCAACGCGACCCACTCTTACATTGAGTGTAATATAGCATACATCCTGTTATCCAATTTCATCAGAATCCATTTTATTATTATTTTCTCATATGCATCGCAGACTCCTAAGTGATTCATTCAGGGGTTCTGGCTAAAATTTTGTGTGCATTTCTCACCTCTCCTATGCGTGTTAATTTCCCTCCCCATCTTATCCTCAGTGGTCTCATCATGCTTAGTGACAGCCCAAATTACACTGTAATTTTATCCACACTCACACTACTTCCTCCTCTTATTATTCCGCTGATTTATCCTTTAAATCATCGAAAAATTGAAATGTGCCATGCAATATTAAACACTCTTACCACCAGAATGATCAGATAAACGTAAACAGATTCCCACACATCTCTCAGAGTTCAGATTATCAAAATGAGACATACCCCGTTTAAAAACGAGATGCTCTACATCTCATTAAAACCAGGCTCCATTGGAATCAGACGATATTCCAACTTCCTCCTGAACAGTCACAGATTCATTTAATATTCGATGCCTGTCCACAACAATTTGAGACCAAATAAGTGTCTGAAACATTTATAGCAGTAAATAACGAGGAGTTTTCTTTTATAAATCGAATGCTGTCTCAAAAAATACAGGTGACAAAACCATCTACCTATGGCTGTACAGCCCATGTGTACCTTGGCCGCTTTTTCAGTTTCTTAATCTATACACAATCGGTAAGACCCCTACGACGGGGAGAACAGCTGTCGCAAGGCCGCTACCTACACAAAGAATAAACGCACATAGACATCAAAGCCTCTAGTGGGATTCGGACCCACGATCCGTGTTTGAGCGGGCGAAGACAGTTCATGCCTTAGGCCGCGCGGCCACTGTGATCGGCTGACAAAACCACCAGGAATTAAAAAATAAACACAGTCAAATGGGCTACTTACTCTGAGTTATATGATATCCAGGGCAATAAAATGTGGTAAAGAAAGCATATATATTAAATGCTTAAAGCACAGAATTCACCCAAATAATATATATGTATACGTTAAGTTCCTACTGCACAGAAAACACACTGTTTCTTCATTACAGGGATAAAATTTAAGCTACTTAGAGAAATAGCTGCTGTTTATTCTGATAATCATAATACACATATAGGCCTAACTACACTATTCGGGCAAGGGTGAAGCTTTTAAATGTTCAATAAGGTGGTGCATATAGTAGACATTGAAAGGCTGAAATAATCATATAAATTAGGAAAACGCAAAAACTTAAAAATTCCTAGAAAATATTTTAAAATTTCGCCTAAAATTTTAAGGATTTTAATTTGTAAGATCAAGTTATGTAATTTATTATCATAATTTGGGGTCTAACCTTGGAGAATTACGCTTTAATATAAACGGTAATTAAATTACAGCTCGTACGAGAGTGACAGTTGGACAAACTTATTCAGCACAGCTGAAGATTCATCATAATAACAAATAAGATTTATATTAATCATTTTAAACAATACGTAGCATTTTACAGAGGTTTTGTCACTTACCACAGAGATAAAGATGGAATACAAGTCTTGTTAGCCATCTCAATATGAAGTGTGGCATCCTTGTAGAAGTTCCTTCAGTTCCGTGGTTAACAATATAGGAAGGTCACGTGTGTTGTCAATTTCATTGTCTTAACAGACAGTCCAATATTCACTTTATGGGAACAAACTTTACTATCTTCTGTATACACTATTATTTATTCAAGAGATCGGCCGTGCATTTGACAACTTGTAAACAATTACCATATTGCTGTTGTGTTGCCGAAACACACAAAACTTGGTTTTTGTAACGTTATTAAATTCGTGTTACCAGTCTGTACCTAGTTTATAGAAGAGTTTGCATATCGTGTAGCTGCCTCCCGTCAGTTTTGTATTTGTCTTAAGGAATCATAATCTAAAAGCCACCAACTGCACTAATTAACATAGCTTGCTATAAATATTGCATCATGATCAAATGAAGCTAAAAATTCGCGTATCAGAAATTACTTATAATTTAAATATCAAGCCATAAAACATTGAAACAACCAAAGCAGATTTCAGAATGCAATAACTATTAAGCATTTTTTGTAAGCCTAATTCTTATATTACTCGTATATTAGCTGCTAAATTTTTGTAAATTATGTTAATTTTCACTCACACACATACACGAAACTTCCTTCTCTATTACATCATAAAACACTGGGATTTATGAAATATTTTAAACATTACAATACAATTTAGCGGCGAACGTGGTTGTGAGATGATTTCAAATATCCCACAAAAACTGCCGATTACTGCACCGGGCGCTTGCTTTTGGCATTCTCCTGCACAGATGCCATCCCGACAAGTGATCGCACACGTAGTTCACATCGCGGCCGCTGCGAGGCGTTACGACTCCCAAAGCCATGCGCATAATACATCCTGCTATGTAGTTCACTTACTAGCCACTTCATTACACCATACTTCAAGCGCTAATTAACGGAAACAGAAAAATCAGTGACAATCCGACATAGATTTGAGTTTCAGGTTTTTCATTTTCTTCCTTCTTCACGCAGACCAAAACAATATTATTGTTACGAAGAGTTATATATACCTTATGGGGTACAACGCCGTGCAGTCTGTTGAAAGTCAACCGACGTTTCGGAAGAACATGTCACCTCCATCTTCAGGGTCTAAAAATAAGCCAAACATGAAACTAGCAAGCCACCTGATTTCATGTTGGCTTCTTGTTTGACTTATTCTCCGACAATGAAAATGGAGGCGACATATTCCTCTGAAACGTCGATTGATTTTCAACGGAATACAAGGCGTTATATCCGTAGAGTTAGAACACTTCAGAACCACCGCTGTGAGAACCTCAAATCGTACATCGTCATTGCTACCACTACTTCAGAAGTAATATCAGTAATAGNCGTGAGAACCTCAAATCCTACTTGTTGATAAGTTCGACGATTCGTGTAGATGATTTGCCACCTAGTTTCTTTCTTACCACAACTTTCGACCCTGAAGATGGAAGAAAAATGTTCCTTCGAAACATCGTTTGACTTTCAAAGGACAACACGGCGTTATATACCAGAAGACAGAACTCTTCCCAATCACCGCTGTGAGAACCTCAAATCCTACATCGTCATTGCTACCACTACTTCAGAAGTAATATCAGTAATAGTAAATAATTTACCGTCTGATAGCAGAATTCGAATGTTCAACGTTGACTAACAAGTCCACCATTAGACATTAGTTCCATCCACGTTCCACTATCATAATTTACTCCACATAGATCCTAATGTTAATATAATCTTCCTTCTTTGGTGTTTCCAAGATGTTTTTCCACAAAATTGTTGCATTCCTTGCTTACCATTCGGCCATAATTCATGTGATGCAGTGGTGGACATGATCCTTGTTTCAGAAACTAACAGATTTTCGCAAAACTCACTATGAACATAATAGTCCTTTCCCAATACATTCTAACTTACTGTCGTCAAGAAAATAACATAACAAGAATGCGTCAGTCAAAGTAAAGACGCACAAATTAATGCAGGACCTTTCTACAACTGCCATTCAAAACAAGATTTGTCTTTTAAAAGCATCATTCAATGCAGGACGGGCCTTCCACAAGCGCCCTTCAGTGGACTTACCAGTACTTTACAAGAGTAATTCAATGTAGGGCTTTTTTACAAGGCCACTCAGTGTATGGCCTCTTTTATAAGCCATTCAATGCTGGACATTATTTACAAAAGCCGTTTAAATTGATGCATTTTTACAAGCGTCATTCATTGCAATGTCAGTGTAAGGGTAGGATTACGAATTGTGTAGTGACATATTATATTTAATTTTATACGGTAATTCTCATAAAATAATATTAAAATACGTCTAACATGAATTCGTAAAATAGTTTCGCTACATCTTTTTCGATGGTGCCATAAAGTGTAGTCTTTATCGCACCTGATATCCAGTGTAGGGTGTTTTTACACGATCTAATCATTGTATGAGTATTAAATTTCTTTAAAATCGTCATTTAAAAGGTGAAATTTCATGGTAACGTTTCATACATACCTCTACCGGCAGTACGAGTAACACTTAAAGAGTAGACGTTCTAATCCTTCGGGATCCTGTAACACTTCACTCTTAATAGAGGTGCTTACAGTATTTGCCTCGGATTCTGATTCGTTCCCCAAGAATGGAGGCAACAGTTTTCTCGGAAACGTTGGTAACTATCTTCCGGACAAATAACTGCTTAAATTCTCCAGTAAGACTATTGTATTTAAACGATTCCACTGAATCTTTCATGTCAGTTAATATTCACTGACCAAGAAATACGCCTGTTCTTGAATTGAAAGTTTAATGCGTAGTAGTCACCATGAAAATCCACAGTTCGAGCCTTTCCTGGATAATTCAATTCAACACACATTATAACCTGTTTCTCTAACATCTAACCGTACTTCAATATAACGTTTCCGTATGCAAAGTGGTCTCTCATGAGATCATGTAACCATATTGTATTTTTTCTACCTTACGCTCTGTCCACCTAACTCTTTTTGATTAATAATCTTTACAATATTAAGTGAAGAGTACAAATCATGAAGCTTTTCGTTATAAGTTTATAATGATTCTCCTGTTATTTAGCCTCTCCTAGATTCAAACAATCTCTCCACGGATGCAATTTATGCAGTTACTGAAGCACCGTTAATTAAATCAAGAACATCCAAATATATTCGGCGGTACTACGTTTTCAAACAACCTCATGTAACCGACTAATTTGTTCAAATTACATTGGAAATGAAAGAGGTAAAAAATGTCTTCCTGAAAAAGATTCCTTTTGACAATTTAAGTACTTTCAATGAATTATTAGCTTCGCTGGAATAGTACATATAAACGAAGCATCTTCCCTTTAATTATAAAATTCCTCAATCTTCATTCTTAACCATCCGGTGAATTATTTGGGCCTTTTTAGTGTTTTTCGAACATGCAACTCTTAAAACTCCTTGTAGTTTAATGAGTTTTTTCATTGTTTAAAACTTTACCCGAAAATCAACATAGTTTAACTTTTTGTACAGCACTTCTTCATTAACAGCGTACTTTGAAAATTCTGTTCCTTGAATGCCGTACAATCACCATCAGAGATGAAACATGCTTGAATAATTTCGAGACAGATTTAATGACAGGCACCTTTTCATAACCTAAAAAAATTATATTTGGAATACAACCGCTGTGTAACTATGCAACTATATCACAACACTTTAAATGCTTAAAGTAATTAGTAACATTCTGCATACTTACGAAAATATTCTATGGCTACCGCATTCCTGAGTCTCTTCAACGTGCATCCAAATGACACCATCACCTGATCAACTTATCACAAAATTCACACTTACATATTACCTACCAATATGTCTACCATACCCCGACACAAATGCAACAGAAATTAAATTAAATAGAACATAACCTAATCTGTCATGTAATTTGAATCCAACAGTCTTTCGGCAAACAACGTAACGATTTTCAAATACACTGCAAGCAAAACGGTTGCAAATTACTTGACACCGTTTACTGAAGACACGGGCAGAAATTTGAACGTTGTAATTAAACTTCATGAATACGTATTTCAACTGATTTGAACCAGCTAAATCGATGTTGCCGGTCACGGTAGCCAAGCGGTCTAAGGCATGCACCGTCTTCGCTCGCTCGTGGGTTCGAATCCCACTCAGGGCATGGATGTTTGTGTGCGTTTTTCTGTGTTCGTCTACAGGTAGAGGCCTTGCGACGAGCTGATCACTCGCCCAAGGAGTCCTACCGTATGTGTAAGATCTGGAATAACCGAAATGAACGGAGAAGTTCAAGGAGGTAGGCCTAGGCCCACTGGGGCTGTAGTGCAAAGGAAAAAAAAATCGATGTCAATAGCTTTCATTTTGACGTTCACGTGTCCTAACTCGAAATATTAGTCAATTATATTACTAAGAGTAACAGTATCTACTGGGTGATAATATAGATAGCATAAGGTAAAAACACACAAACTTTAATTGACGCAAGTAAGGTTGGTAGCGCCGTAGCTCAAACGGTTAGTCGCTGGCTTCCCACCACGGCGGGCCGGGTTCGATCCCGGGTCTGGTCAAGTGGGATTTGTGGTCGACAAAATGGCGCTGGGGCAAGTTTTCTCCCAGTACTTCGGTTATCCCTGCCAATCTTCATTCCACCAATTGCTCCACAATCACCCTCACCTATCAACTGAGGCTGGTACAATAAGCCACAAATGGCCGCAGTATAAGGGACTTAGTCCCAACCCACTAGCAATAAAATAAAAAAAAAAGGTTGGTCTAGAAGTGAACACAGAAACAACTAAGTATATGTTGCTGTCTCATCCCCTAAATGCAGGGCAAAATCATGGCATAAAGATAGGAAACAGATGTTTTGAAAATGTGGCACAGTTCAGATATTTGGGAACGACTATAACAAATCAAAACCTGATTCAGAAGAAACTTAAGAGGAGATTGAACTCGAGTAATGCTTGCTACCATTCAGTCCAGAACCTTTTGTCTTCTTGTCCGCTGTCAAAAAACATAAGAATTAGAATATACAAAACTATAATTTTGCCTGTGGTTCTATATGGGTGTGAAACTTGGTCTCTGATATTAAGGAAGGAACATAGACTGAGGGTGTTTGAGAACAGGGTGTTGAGGAGAATACTTGGTCCAGAGAGTGACAGGAGGTTGGAGAAAACTGCATAATGAGGAGCTTCATAAATTGCACCCTTCTCCAAGTATAATTAGAATGATCAAGTCAAGGAGGATGAGGTGGGCAGGTCACGTAGCACGAATGGGGGAGATGAGGAATGTGTATAGGATATTGGTGGGAAAGCCAGAAGGAAAGAGACCACTGGGAAGACCAAGGCATAGGTGGGTGGACAATATTTGAAAGGATCTTAGAGAGACAGGATGGGATGGTATGGATTGGAAAGATCTGACTCAGGATGGGGACCAGTGGAGGGCTCTTGTGAACACAGTAATGAACCTTCAGGTTCCATAATATGCTGGAAAATTCTTGAGTAGCTGTAGAATTGGCAGCTCCTCCAGAAGCGCTCAGCTCCATGAGCAATTATATAATACCTAAGAAGACAACTGTGTGCTACACATAATGTGATCTCATATATTTAGAGCAGTGACACACAGTTCCATGGTTTCCTAGTCACTGCAGATATCTTTTTATATGCAGACTGCTGAAAGTTTAATAACAAAATATACCCCCAGTAAAGATACAACCAATTTAACATTACAGACTCCTGAAAGTTTAATAACAAAATACACCCCCAGTAAAGATACAACTGATGTAACATTACAAATTAGAAAATAATACCAATCAAGGGCAACAACATACTTGGACTGAAAGTGATAATAATATAAATTTAAAATGGTAGGCAATACATATTGCTCTATCTATAGTTAAGAAGCAAACAGAAAACAAAATGAAGTATAAATAACAAGAGGCCTTAAAATACTGATTAAGAACACATTCAAAAGAACAACAACAAAAATCTGTAAAAATTTTTAAATCATCAGAAAGTTTAAGTGATTTAATATACAGCAAAAAAGCTGAAACAAAAAGGGGGAAAAAGTAGACAAATTTTGGAACATTATTTACACGAAACTGAACATAACCTATATGGTAGGAAAAATAAGGGCTTATAAAAAATTAATACAACACTTCAACAAGAATAAGAAAGAAGCATTATAACCAAATTATCCCACAAATTTAATGGGTTAAAACATTAAATTGTGGGCTAATGACACAACAAAATTAAAATTCGAGAAAATGCTGATTCATATTCAGTAAATTAACTTCCAAAAGTAAAAATTCTCCAGGATATAATAAAATAAACACAGAATTTACAAAGTATGCATTTTTAGAATAATTACATAGATCACATTTTTTAAATATGTTACATAACAGAATATAATCTAGAAAACAGGTCTAGCAATTGTAATACTAAACAGTACACCACAAGTCCTTCAACAAATAAAAGACATAATAAAGAATCACACTGCATTTCAAAAAACACGTGACTTATTTTGTTAGATACTTGAAGTTTGTCATACTGCCACTACAGGTCAGCATGAAGCATGTGAAGGGTCATGTGACAAAATGCTGAAACAGCAACTCCACAGGAGAAAGTTATGCATGTTGGTTGGTTCTTCAAAACAAAATCAGACGTTCAAATGCATGAAAACTTCCACACACATTTCAGAAAGGACCCACCAACCCAGAAGAACATTAGAGTATGGCATGAGAAACTCTTCAAAATGTGGAGTGTTCTAAATCATAAAAAAGAAGTGATCAGCCATGCATATGTGAAGAGGACTTTTAACAAATTAGGGAAGCATTTCAATGCAGCACTGACTGGTCAACATAAGCTGCTGCCATGGAATTGCAACTTCTTTGCACAGATGCACATCAAGTTCTCCGGTCGAGATTGCAGCTGTTCCCCTAGAAGAGGCACATTTTACAGAATGAAAAACCATACCACATGAAATCTGTGACAGGAAACTTTCTCCAATTGGGCAACAATCATAGACAAGTTTTGTTTCAGGATGAGGCAAAATGTCCTAACGTTTTACTGCATTATAAACCCAAAGTTCATTGTGTAAAAGAACATGCAAAGATACTTGAAAGATGAACTACAGACAATGCAGACTTTTTTTCAGAAAAATAAAACTGTTAGAAAAGGGCACTTTCCTATTCAGCTAATATAGAAATTAAGATAGTAAAACCCGGGAACTGATATACATTTTCTGGATTATACAAACACATTTCCAAAAGTATAACTGACTCAAAATAATGGCAAAACAGATCAAAGGGAGACTTTCCCAACGAATCATACATACAGTGAGTAACTTATAGCATAACACTAAATATCAGCTTGTTACAAATAAACATGTGCTAAAATTAATGGCAGGGACATTCTTGCCTGGCTGATAACTATGAACTTTCCAGCTTATCAGCCAACTCAAGAAGTCTGTTAATGGCAGAGAATGGTATAGGTGCCCTTTCTAACCCATTCTTCCTAATATTTATATTCATGGAGCCATTCAACATTGGCAGGAAAAAATTAACAGCCTGATTATTAACTAGTGTAACATTTATGTTTATATTCTTCACTTACAATTATGATTACCAAAATGCAAATTAGATAATACATAGTAATGACCTATTTTTGTAAATACTAGTATAGGTTTATGGGAGGCAATGTTAGTTCATATTTAGCAATAAACTGAATTACCACATTTTTGCTTTCATTTTGTTTCAAATCAGACACAGTTTGCTTAGTTATGTTAAATTCTTCCATGACGCTCTAAAGTGATACTTCAACTTCTGTTTTCTTGATGTACTAACTTATTCATCAGTTCTTTGAAGGTAAATTATTAGCAACATATTGGCAGACCTCACTGAACATACAGGATTATTCTACCTATCAAATGCCCACAAAAGTACATTACAGGTTAAGTTTTAACTTACAGTGTCAATGCATGCCATAATAACAGTAATTACAAATTTATCTACATTAATATTCAATTCAATATAATTTACTATATCATATCTCGAGGAATGGATTGTATTAGATGAGATTAGTAACAATGGATCCTTTGTGTAAGAAGTCCAATGATGTATGTTGACAACATTTTTAGTATTTCAACACCTGATGATAACCATATATGGTTGACACACGTAATGAATATGCTTAGTGAATAAATACTGATTCCATCAATAACACTCATGTCTTCAGTTGCTTATTTACATAGTTCAGGAAATGTACATATTGTAAGTTCTGGCACATTATCTTCTTTTGGGAATTTTCTGAACATCTGAGCAAATATCAAATTCTCAATGCATGACTGAGGTATATCAAGTTAGGTTCTATTAGCTTTTACACTGTTCAGAAACAATATGTACAGCACTGATGTTATATTTCATTTTAGTAAGAAGAAGATACTGGCTGTGGGGTGAATTAGAGATGGATAACGGGTAAAGTCTGAGAATGCCTGGGCATTGTCTTCCTTCATTCCATCAGAAACTGACAGCAATCAGGGCAGTTTTGCATCCCCATATGTGCTCACTCTTTATCTGCTGTGTGTGGCAATTTTTTCTGAACATATCAATGAATTTTCAATCAACCGATCACTCTGCCTGACAACATTCAGTGTTCATTCAGTGTTTGCGTGATCATTACTGCTTTCTGCAACAGTGGTCATTAACTGTTCCAAAATTTGTCCAGCAATTCTTGCAACAGATGATTTAAATAACAATGTTAAACATAAAAATGGGCAAAGTTTTTCTTGTCCTTAATTAATTAAGCACCATGACATGGAGATAGGGGACTGGAGGTATAGCTCCACCAATCTTGATGTCAGCCCTAGATGCGGGTGAGCGGCCAGCTTCACACCTCAGCCACTTTACCCCTGGTATAACAATGGTTCATCACTAATATTTGCTACCACAGCAGTTACTGTTCATGTGGATGAGTTAACATGGTGCCTTGATATGCCACTGATATCACAAGCACAAACTTGGGTCATTTTGTAAAATTACAACTACCAGATCTGTAGAAATGGGGTTCTCCAAACTCACTTGTAAATTGCTTAAACTAGTCCACAAATCTCTGCTCCTCGGTGCATGACCTGACTTCTTTAAACCTAACAGATGTCTAAAGCATCACTGATGCCCAATCCACAAGACTCAGACCTGTCCAGCAAGAGTCTCTGTGACCCTAGCTAACCTTGCAGGTAACTGCGGCTTGCTCTAGGCAAAGCCTTCTTATCAGGACTCAAGAGTCAATCATCATCCATCTTAAAGAATGCCGTCTTCTGGGATGTAGCGCCGACTAGATCTTGTGTGAACCGACATTTGGGAGGAATGCTACTGCCTCCAACTTCAGGGTGGCTGCAGCCACCTGCTCATGCTGGTTCCTTGCTTGCAGATTTTTCTATCCTGAAGATTGAGGTGATATGTACCTCCTAAACACTGTTTCACACAAGATCTAAAAGGTGTCATATCCTAGAAGACGGCATTCTTCAGAATCAAACAGAAAAATAAACTCCGCTGTTTCAGTCCACAAGTGAACTATACAGACTGAGTGACTGCCACTTGTTGGCAAAATTAGTAGTGCCAACTTTAGTGGATAGAGGGTGTCGCATGGTCAGCACAACAAATCCAAACAGCTGTTAATTCCAGTTTTCTAGACCAGAGCTGTTATTTCCTTGAAATAGCTCCTCAATTATCATTCTTCACAGTCACCGCCATGAAAACTTCAAATCTTACATCATCAATCTTAATTTTATTTTTATATAATACACTTTTTAGAAGCCAGCAAGGAAAGCTAGTTCTTGTGAGAAATTATCTCCAAAAAGATGCAAGAATTCTACTAAGTAAATTTATTAATATAACTCTTAAGGCTGGGCACACACCAAGGAAACTGGCAATCGCAATGCAACCGCGATTTCCGAGAAGTGTTATCAGCCAGAGTTGAACACATGTTAGTGAATGGAGCAGCACAAATTGAGGAAAAAGTAACGCAACATGCAGAGAGACTGAGAAAGTCGATTTCCAGGCAATGGAGCATGCCAATCTTCACATGATTGAATTGCTGCATGGATTCCTAGAAATCAGCTATTCTATAACATGCTTCAGCATTTTATTTGTCAAGAAGGCACAAAGAGTTGATGAAGCTGCTAATTTGTTCTTGTGTTGTTAACTGAGCAAGAAACTGGCATATATGACAAACGCTGTCCAGACTGTGCCATGTGGGGAAAGTAGATGTGGCTTGGGGAAAAATTTTTCATGAGATGAAGGAATCTGGTATGTGTTTATACGTGTGTGAGTGTATATATAAATATATATATAATATAACCAAAACTTATAATAGGATCAAAATATGTCTGCTAAAACAAAGCAAACAACTAGTACAATATGACCCATGCTTTGTGATAAAAATCAGCAGTTGGGTTAGTCCTCATCCTTTACAATCATCAGCTAAATTAAATTAATATAACTCCACTGAGACGGAATTGCACCTGCTGGTGTTAAGGAGTAATCCTCCAGCTGATTTAAAGGGCGCTGTGCCCTCGACAATCTCTGCCTTCCATCATCATCATCATCTTTTGATTATAATAAACAATGTAAAGAAAAGACATCTAGCAGTGGTATTGTATTTGCTGAGAAATCTGCAGAATTTGTATATCAGTAGAAAGATAAACTTTCCTTACCTCAGAGTAATCAGTAGTTTTTCTTCAACTGACACGTTCACACACTCATGGAGCTGAGCCCATTTTGCAGCTACTCAAGAGATTCCCAGCATTTTATGGAACCGAAAGGTTTATTACCGTGTTGACAAGAGCTCTCTACTGGTCCCTACCCTGAGCCAGATCAATCCAATCCATACCATCCCATCATATTTCTGTAAGATCCATTTTAATATTGTCCAGCCACTTAAACATTTGTCTGATAATTTCCCTATCCAGAATGATCTAAAACAAGGAGATGCTTTATTACCAATCCTTTTCAACTTTGCTTTAGAACATGCCATTGGAAAGGTCCAGGAAAGCCAGGTGGGACTGAAATTGAATAGGACCCTTCAGCTTTTGGTTGATGATGTGAATCTACTAAGTGTTAATATTGATACCATAAAGAGAAACACAAATCTTTAATTTATGCAAGTAGGGAGGTTGGTCTAGAAGTAAACACACAGAAAACTAAGTATATGTTGAACACAACAGATCATTGTAGGTAGTGGTGCAAGGGCCAAGAAGGCCCAACCCTTATACATTCATTCATTCATTCATTCATTCATTTGTATATGTTGCTATCTTGTTACCAAAATGCAAGGCAAAATTATGATAAAGATAGGTAACAGATGTTTTAAAAATGTAGCACAGTTCAGGTATTTGGGAATGACAATAACAAACCAAAACCTGATTGAGGAGGGAATTAAGAGGAGACTGAACTCGGGTAATGCTTGCTACCATTCAGTCCAGAACCTTTTGTCTACTGTCCAAAAACATAAAAACTGGAATACAGAAAACTATAATTTTGCCTATGGTTCTGCTGACACAGCTGTATGAAAATTTGTATCTTGTCTTCAAATTTGAGGTCCTACAAGATCCACTATTAAAGAAAAACCTTCAATGCTCATTCTGTAGAGTGGTTCGAACAGTTATATGTCCAGATTAAGTTCTTTCAAAACAATATGAACACATGAGTTTAAACTGTAGCGAAAGAACGGATGCACCCAATGTTCCATTTTCTCCTGTCTTCTCCTCTTACTCCGTCTCAACCACATCATTACAGGAACAATATTATTATTATTATGACATTGCAGAAGAGAAGTGCATGAAATTGGCGGGCAAACACGCCCACTTGAGATGATGTGAGCAACTAATCGAATCTAAGTTTCTTCAGTGTATGCCTGATAATCTGGAAACCAGTTGCCTGCTTGAAATTGACAACTTCTCTCAGAAATCACGGTTGTCAGTTTACTTGGTGTGCATCCAGCCTAAGTAATAAATACTTCATAATAATATCATATGTAAATAACATTAGTAAAATTATAAATCACAGTCATACAGTGCATGTGTGAGTTTCTGAATTAAGATACCAAACATTCTGAATGCCATTATGTTCATTAGACTCAATACATCACATCCAGCAAAATACATTTACTAATCCATTTCCAACAGTGACTTCATTTGTCCACATCAGTAGCTTGCTAAGCTCAGTGTACTGTTCTAAAACAGCCTATACCACTTTCTTGTGCATCCTGTTCTTTTCCTCCCTGTTCCTAACTGCTGTTGTGCTATCCACCCCTACTCCCTTCTACCTGCCAGAGAATAGCTGTGCATGCCTTCAGCAATCATTCAGAATTTTGATTTCAAGCTGATCATTGCTCTGACTGTGGCAAGGACCATGAGGAGGCTACATGGAGAGTCTGGTGACAGCAGACCAGCAGGTGAGTATCTGTTTTCCAAATTCAGGTCCAGTCTGTCTACAAGTTTCGGTCTTGGCCATTCCTTTGACTTGCTGACACCTACTAGATACCCCTGGTGGTTTGAATAAATATTTTTCAATATCTAGCCCTGCCTCTTGGGCTGACTGCCATGTTTCTCATTTACCTGTATTGTTTTATTTGCTTAGTCTTTGGCTTGAGACCCAGTAACTTTTTGCAGCGCATATTTCAAACCACACAACAGTCAATGGTTACCTTGTTCAAACCTAAGTGCCTACTGTGTGTGTCATACCCTTCTTATATCTGTATTATTCATACTTATCAATTGCATGCCAAGTGGGCCCTAATTTTACAGTACCACTGTTTTTATTATTTCCAATCAATCTTGAGTGGTGATGAAGAAGATCCAGGAAAGGGTAGCACTGCATCTGCTGCCTCATTTTTGTCTGTCCTTTCCAATGGAAAAGGCCCGCCCGGTCTCGAGCTCAGTTAAATATACATCTGATAGGATGGTTACAATAAAGAATATCTCAACATGGAACTGTCCTACTGTCTCCACTTTGGATCTAACTACATCTATGTGACACCCTCACACTCTCACATATCTGAGGCTGCTTAACCAAGAGTACACTGGAAAATAGAAGCATTATCTGTTGAGAGCTACTATATAGGATGCCGGCTAGCTGACTAAGAAACTTAACCTCAATATGGCTGCACTTCCTGTGTTACAATAAAACTGCACTACAAACACAAAATGTATAACCAACTAAATATGAACATAATAAAATAATTTGTTTTGAAACATTAAGACCATGAAACTTAATTCATTACACTTCATTCATGATGCCTGCTGAATGCACATTCGGAAGAATAAATTTCTATACGACAGATATAAATCAATTTTGCAGTGAACTTACAACATTTAGTTAAGTTTCGACAGAACAGGGCCTTCATGTTTATGCACAAAAGGACTCAAATAACTATGCGTTATAATGTGATAAAGTAATGGGGTACTGACCCAGAGAAGTTTCCATCCTGAGTTTCAGTGGTAAGTGACTGGAAATGAAACTGTGTCACAGATTCGGGAAATTCTGATGGGCTGTGATATGGCATACACCACACAAAGTAGTACTGGAACCAAAAAAAGACATGATAAACAAGACAGAGAATATATGTATGGTGTATTCACTAACTTCTGTTTAATTACCTCAAAAAGAAACAAAAGTTTAAATGTAAATAAAGTAATGGTTGCTGGGCCGATCACAGCAGTCATGTGATGTAATGCAAGAACTGTCTTTGCCCACTCAAACACTGGGATGGTGGGTTTGAATCCCACTCGAGGCATGGATGTCTGTCTGCATTTATTCTACACGGGTAGCAGCAGTCTTGTGACAGGATGATGGCCATCCAAGGATTCCTACCAGCTGTCTCTATGATTAAGAAACTGAAGTGAAACGAAGCATTTCACAGGTGTCCTGTGCTCCAGAGGGGGAAACAGGAAACACAAATGAAAGAAAGGAAACAATGACTGGCTGAATGAATGAATGAATGAATGAATGAATGAATGGTTGCAGCAGCATATTCATTTACATTTTCAATCAAATATACACATGTGTACATGCAAGATAAGTAGGTCTATAAATTATGGTGGAAGAAAGCTTCATTTATTTATTATTGACACTAAGAGACTTCCACATAATTTGGAAAACACTGTTCACTGTTGCACTTGGACATTCATACATATATCCATAAAATAACAATATTTGGACATTCACTCCTTTTGTGTAATTATCTATAAAAATGTAAAAATTATGGAAAACTGTAACACTACTGGATATAAAAGAAGTTCTTCTTTTTTCCCTACAGTCTGTTTGATACACTTTTCACACTCAGAAATATTTAGTGTAGTGAGTTACACTTTGAGGCACATGCAGAAATCAATATAGGTTTTCACATAAAGCGTCCATTATTTTTGTTCAGATTTTAACCAAAAATAAGAATATATTTACAAAATCTAATAAAACCCGAGAAAAAAATTTCATGAGAATCTGTTTATCACTTCTCAAATTGTTTCATATATATAGATAGACAAAGAGAGAGAATTTAATAAGTGATCCACAGGGATGCATCTAAAACTTAACACAATTATTTCTTATGCACAACTTGTAGTTCCAGTTAAGAAAAGACATTCCCCATTATAATTTCCTTACTTAAATATCAAAGACCTCTGACTTCATGAAAGAGTGTTTAGGGTATTTTAATAATCTGGGTCAGCCATGAAAATGTGCATAAAAGCCTCACAAAACACATACTGTAAAACTAAATGAAGAATTTCAGAATAAGAACAGGCTGCTATGTGATGCTGGACTACAATGGGTTAACTACTACTTAAAACAGGGCCATAAGGAATACATTCTCTTACAGAAACTATGGGAATGTACTTACAAAATCTGCTCTGTCCTCTGCCAGCCAGTGGAAAGACTTCAAGAACAGAAGAACAGTGAAACCTGCAACAAATTTTGGACTGAAATCATCTCGAAAAACAGTGAAGGCCAGGCATGTCTCTGTGACTGCATACCATGATCCCTCCATGAGGTGCTGCAATAAAAGAAAACACCTGTATGATATAATAATCTTTCAATACTAGCAATGTTCGCTTGGTCTCTTTCGGTGATGTCATGAGCATATATGAACGCTCTCACTGACTCAAATGCACTCAAGTGCTTCCGTAAAACAGGGCACTGGTTCGGAAACGGTTTCATCGTCATCATCACCAACTCACCTTGCCCTTCCACCTCGCAACTTCCGCTTCCCACCGCACCACACATTTCTTCCACACACAGCACACCACATGTCGCGAGCTCTTGGTCCAGACACGTAGGCGTCAAAGACGCTCAAGGTCGCATCCCATGGTTCTGCAACTTGCTACAACACGTTTCAAAAACATCAACCGCTTTTACTACTACCAATGCTTACTAACATTTGTGTGGTGTTGCACTTTCAAACGTTCAATGCGGGATTAACATTCATGGGGACCAAGAATTCCGACCGATAGATGCGGGAAAACGATAAATCAAAGAACGATCGATGCGGGTTTTATTTCCATAGTTTAAATAGGATTTGTTCAGGGACCACAGAAATTGAACGACGGATCCGGGAAAACGATATATCCGGGAACGATAGATCGAGGTTTCACTGTATTCAAAACTGAAACCAGTGCATAATAAGGGTGAAAAGTCTTGCATATCAGGCCAACTTCATTAATAACAGTATTATACAAAACATTTTAGAGAGGTACATAAAACCTATACAAAAGTATGCAGTCTATACAACTTTGTTACTGCCATTACCAAATATTTGAACAACCTACCTTTGGCAAGGGGTTAAGAAAATATATGAAGGGCTCTCACTCTCTCAGAGAGGAGATGTAAACAAATGTGACAAATGAAACAGCAACCAACATCAAAAATAAACAACCAAGAAGACGAAATAAAACAGGAACTACAAAAACAAGGTCATATTGTCCCAACATTTTTTTTATTGCTAGTGGGGTGGGACTAAGTCCCTTCTACTGTGGCCACTTCTGGCCTATTGTACCAGCCCCAGATGATATGTGAGGGTGATTGTGGAGCAATTGGTGGAATGTCGATTGGCAGGGGAAACCGAAGTACTCGGAGAAAACCCGCACCAGCGCTACTTTGTCCATCATAAACACTTGACCAGACCCGGAATCGAACCCGGGCCGCCGCGGTGAGAAGCCAGGGCCTAACCGCTTGAGCTATGGAGCGGCCCTGTCCGCAACATACTAAACGTCGGACATCGCGTCAAACAAAAGAACCACTGCCTCTGTTTTTCATGAGAGCTAGAACCTAAAGAAAACAATAGGAGCATATACGAAATTAAATATTAATGCAACATGAAAATAACAGTCGAAGGCCCAAGAAAGACAAACGACATTGTACAGTGAACAAGACGTCGGCGATTACGTAACAAGTATAACTGTTTCGTTCGCCTACACGTTTGGCGTCACTTATATGTGTTTAACCGCTCAGTGAGACTTCTAGCCCCACAAGTTGGTCGGCATTTATAACTCGCCACTCATAACTGTCCACTTAGTGCCCTTACATTGGTCTCCACTTTCATCCGCCGCTTCCTTGTTGTCGTCTGGTTCAGGGTAGGGTGTGGGATTACTCTGAATTTGAATTTGTATGGGCGCCAGTGGACTTGCGTGAAATCCACGAATTTGGAACGGGGAAAACAAAGGGGGGGATATGGATAGGCGGGCGTTTGGGGTTCCGACTGCTCAGACCGCAGGATGAGATTCTGTCTCAGGGAGACTTCTGGGCCTTGCCCACACAAGGAGAGAGAGAACACTTAAAACTCACACTTCACAAACACTGTTGCTCTTTATTGTAGATGTGAACTAGAATTACACATTACAAGGCTGTAGCGCTTTGAATTTGTACACCGGACTCGGCCAACACCGATTTAACGTCCGGGAGGTTACTACTGACTCCTGTTATTCCCTTTTTGCGACTGACTACTCCGGAGAGCCAGAAGTCCTGACGGTTCCGGGAACGACCGGTTTCCTCTCCTTTGAAATTTTGCTGATTGGCTGAACCTAAAATTTGGGTGTTATTTTCATTTACATTCAGCTAATCCCTAACAAGTTCCATGTTAATTTTGGCCTAAGTACGAGACGGTCCTTCTGACAGCTCTCAAATAAATTAAGGTACGTTAACGACCGCTAGGTACGCCTCTCCGAAAATTATTGCGACTCGTATCTGTCAAGTCTCAAATTTTGAAAGACTCGCACCGTCGAAGTTAAGCACTGAAATTCCCAGAAAACGCAGCGGGATAATTCCTGCTCCGTTCTGGGGGTTTCAAGTGACCTGCAGCTTGCTTGTCCCTCAGAAAGCCCATATGTCGTCCTTGGCGCCTGCTGGGGTCAATTCTGTATCATCTTTTGTTAACAGTAATACAGTTCGTTTACTTGTAGTACACTGTAATTAAGAATGTAAATAAACAACATTGCTGAAGTTCCTGCATGGTGCGGTTACACAAGAGCACACGGCAATTGCGTAAAATGTGCCACGTAACATGCGCCACGTCACTGGCACGCGCCACGTAACAGGTGCCACGTAACAGGTGTACACTGCGACTATATATATGAGGCGCCACGGCAATTAGACAGCAGTGACATTTCAGACGGCGCGCAGAGCAGGTGTCTTGCAGCGATTGGCATACTCGTAGTTGTGACAGTGACTGCCCAATACGTGTGACCTTGCAGACGGCGGGTGAAGTACAGGGGTCTAGCGGCGAAATCACGACAGGGGATTGAAATAGAAGAGGCGTTAGCAGGATTACAGGAAAATACAGGTAAGCCTGTGAGGATGTAAAGTGTAAAGCCATCTTGGTGATAACATCTCAGCGCGGGCCGTGTAGAAAACACTATTCATTGTTGTATTCCAATCACTTCATGGGGACGTGTTTGTCTATAAAGGCGTCACTCAATAATGACTGCATATACTTGCTTATAAAGAACCTGTTCCCTTGCAGCTGATGTTGTTTCGTCATTTGTTTCAAGGTCGTTAACCAGTAACGGGTCTACACGCTATAATATATATATACAGGATGATTCAGGAAGGGCCTACCAAACTTCATGGGTACATTTAAGTAATTTTTAATATACAAATAAATGCCTATTCAGAAGTCAAATTTGGAAAGTTCATGGAGTTGTGGCATTTTGAAAGTAATATGAAGACATATCAGAAATAAAGGCATTTAATGATAACTTTCACAACAACATTAATATAAAACTAAAATACTGTATGTCTTTATAAAGGAAGCATGTTACAAAAACTGTTCAAAGTGACTGACTGCCACTTCAATGCACATCTGAGTACAAGGCTGCCAGCCACATCAATGAATGGCATATCATGTTCCAAAATGTGGATTCAAGTTAGAGGTAGACATTCTGAACAGTCTTCTGTAACATACACTTATTTTAGTTTTACACTGCAGAACATTTGAAATTTTCAATAAACATACTATTTATAATAAATCTTAATCTTACTTTCAAACTGCCATGCCTCCTTAAACCTTTTAAATTAGACACATCTTAAAAGGACATTTTTAACTCATCCATTTGTTTAGTGTACCCATGAAGATTGGTAGACCCCTCCCATAACACCCTGCATATAATTAATCCAGTTGTAAAGATATACAAATATGGGTGGTCTTTTCAAATGCTAACCATACTCTGATCTCATATATTACTAAATAAAACTGGTCCAAAATTATGAAACACGTGTCCAAAATAATACAATGAATAGTAACACTTGACATTCACAAACTTCAAGCAAAAAATGGCAATAATACTATTGCAAAAAGCTGCAGCCACTGGGTGAAATTCAGGGGATTATTGGCATCCTATCACTAGGACTTTGTCAAAATGCAGTGCTCAGTAAGAGCATTCACAGTGCATTACAAAATGTTAATATTAGGATAACAGGATTATGGGGTTGAGAATAAGGAAATGGTCAAGCTAGAACATGCATTAAATCTACCAAAATGTAGCAAAAGTGAAAACTTCAGACATTACTAATCCATTCAAATGTTCCTATCACCAACAAAATCACTGACTCTTGCAGAATCTTATCATATTCCTAGAGCAAGCACATAGTTATATTTGCAAATCAGTCACACTGAGGCTCTTCAGACAAGACAAAGCCTGACACAGAAAGTATAAGAAGCTTAAACTTGGCAGTGGTCATGCATATGACCATTCAAGTAACTAGACTGCCATGGTAGCGAATCCTACTAGAAATAGGACATAGTCTGCTGTACTGAGCCTGGACTGGCAGTGGCCTTGTATATATTGTACATAGGAGTAAGAATAAAGTTAAATTTGTAAATATATGTACGTACTGACAATGGACTTACTAATACAGACTATAACTGACAAATAACAGACCCGACCTCCCGTCTGAGAGGGCTCCCCAAAATGGAGAGGACAGTAAATTTCATGTAAGAAGAAACATCTGGTCATGAAAGACAGACAGACTGACCGGCCATCAGTCGCAAGTGACTTTGACTTTGACTTGACACTGAGGCTAATCCTACGACTAGTGAAGGTGAACTGAGAAGACTTTATCATGTGCCACATTACAATACATTACATTGCATTCCATGGATCCAAAGTTAGTCAAAATGACTGTTGGATGTGAATGTGTCATATAAATACAAAACATATGTACAGACCCAATGGAGTTGTCACACAAGAGAAACCAAGAATTCACAGTGTCTACACACAAGGCTATTTAAAGATACATAAGTTATTTTCTAGATAATAGGTATTCATCAACAGAGTAGAATTAATGTGTATTTAAGTATCGTTTCAGTGCTATTTTAAATCATGCCTTTTCATTCATAAGACTTTTAAGATCGGATGGCAGGTTATTAAAATGTTGATCCCAGCATAATTTGCGCTTTTCTGAAAGCATGAGAGGTTAGCAATTGGTTTATGAAGACAGTGTTTGTGTCTTGTGTTAACACTGTCTACAACCGCATTCATCTGAAAATGTTCATTATTTGTAATGAAGTTTATTAATGAATATATATATATATATATATATATATATATTCACAAGGCAAAGTTAAGATCTGTAGTCTCTTAAATAGATCTCTACAGGAATTACAGGATTTGACACCCATCATGATTCTAACCATTTTCTTTTGCAATGTAAATACTGTCAGATGAATTCCCCCAGAAAGTTATTCCATACTTCATTAAAGAGTGAAAATTAGCAAAATAGATTTATTCGAGTGTGGCCAATGTTACTAATATGTAACAGAAATCTAACTGCATAACATGGTCCACTTAACTTTGTAATCAACTGATCGATATGGTTTTTCAAGTTTAAATGATTATCATTTTGCAAGCCAGGGAATTTTGTGTTTCTATATATGTGTGAATTGCGTAAATTATGGAGACAGCGCTGAAACTAATTGTAGGTATGGTTCGTATGAGTCCAATAAACCGAATTACCAAACAAAGGCCCCTGCAGTCAGTAACTACACGATACAGCATTAAAGTACACAAATGTGTCGATTCCCCTTGCATCTTAGGATGCAAGTGAAATTCTGTTAATTCATGTCTCTTTGCCTACGCTCCATCCAATACTCTGAAACAAAAACATACACAGCACCGTAACATCTGCATAATTCCATCCATCCTTAATGTGGACCTACTGACATGACAGGATCGGTACATATTACCTACCGTGTAGAACTGCTTCTTTTGATAGTACGCATTGCATTTATCGCAGTAGTTAATGCTAAACTAATTAATGTAATTCCTGCAGCAATCATTTCCAAACGTTATCGACTGTTGGAATAAATCAGTCTCACGCTCAGAACAGCCCCGTGAAACTCCCATGTTATTGGTTGCCAACATGGCCGCCATGGCTCAGAAACACCACAACAAACGCGAGTTCACTAGTTCTGCCCTCAGTAGAAGAATATTGTACTAACCGATTACGTGTCTATAGTAGACGTCGTAAAGTTACGCGCCAAGAATATTTAAACGTCGTGAGTACCAACTGGGCCGCGCCATAGCTCAAGCGGTTAGTCGCTGGCTTCCCACCGCGGCGGCCCAGGTTCGATTCCGGGTCTGGTCAAGTGGGATTTGTAGTGGACAAAGTGGCGCTGGGGCAGGTTTTCTCCGAGTACTTCGGTTTCTCCTGCCAATTGCTCCACAATCACCCTCACCTATCATCTGGGGCTGGTACAATACGCAAGAAGTGGCTGCAGTGCAAGGGACTTACTCCCACCCCACTAGCAATAAAAAACCCGTACTAACTCCCTATAATGAACAAACTAAATGTTCAGTAACAACTTTATGTGTTATTGAATGTACATAGGGTCAGTGATGTTAGGCAGACAGAAATCCATACAGTGGAGCCGTTAATACCTGATCCTAGCGCCTTTGAGGTTGAAAGTGCTATTGCAAAATTGAAACGGTATAATTCGCCAGGTGGTGAAATTCTGGCAGAACTTATTCAGGCAGGAGGCGAAATATTACATTCTAAGATGCACAATCTAATTACTTCTATTTGGCATAAAGAAAAATTGCCTGATCAGTGGCAGGACTCTATTATTGTACCAGTTCATGAGAAGGGTGATAAAACTGACTGTAGTAATTATCAGGGGATATCAC